CGCTTGGGTTTGCCATCAGAAATAATATTCTTAGTGCAAAATTAATGATTCGGTCACCTTGTTCTAGCATATCATTACCCTGGTTTGACAAGAGACTCTTGTCTCATTCCCTTTAATGGTGCTTTCCTCCATGTTACATGAAATGTTCTCCCTACTTTTGTTTTACAAGTAGCTAAATTACTTCTTAGGTGCATGGCTGGTACAAAATTTAACACCTAGAGGAAGTGCAAACATTAATGGGTTGCAGAGAGCTTTGATTATGAGCTTCTAGCCCGTAGCTAAAAGGTACTAGGTCCTGCCTATATGGCAGAGATTCAACCTCCTCCTGCCTCTTCTTTCTTGTTACTGCCGTTCCCTTCTCTTCTTCTTTCTCATGCTTCTTTCTGAATTCTGCTGTCACTGGGGTAAGAAGTTCAGGTTACAGGATGCAGTTAGGAAGAATCTCCCACCACTACATGTATCTAACTGCTTCCGTTCCATGTCAGTCTATGAGCTTGGGAGGGGGGACTTGAACATCTTCACTTAGCAGTCCTTGCTTCCATTCCAGAAGAGCCTCCACTGGCATTAGTAGAACAGGATTGTTGAGTTGCTTTCTTCTGAAGTCCAATAGGTAATCTACAGAAATATGCTTAGCACCAAATGGCACTGTGGTTCCAGCTCTGCTGGGCGTACTGGTAACTGTGCACCTCTATCGTAACTGGGAGCTGCTCTGGGTGCTGCAGCAGTTGCTTCCCTAGAAACGAAAAAACTGGAAAGCAATTCAGACACCCCCGCCCCCCCCCAGAATGTGCGATACCTTCCATGTCTGGAGCACAGCAAGAGCTGGGCAGAATTTGCCTGTTGCCTGGCTCCAGCCTGGAGGCCACCACTGAAAGAGCCTTGCTGCATCAGTGTTCCGGTAGCATTGCACTAGACCCTTGGCTACCCAGCTTAGAGTGATTGTCGCCTTGATCTTGCTACCAGTGTGCTGCTTGGGAGCTCTATGCTGATTAAGGCTACACACACTCACAGTCTCTGGGGGACAAATTTAGAAGCAAATGCAAATAGAATATTATATATATTCACTGTCATCTGTCATCCCAGCCCCTTCCATGTGCCATCTGTTGTCTGAGGTTGTTGAGCCTGACGAAGCGAGGTGAGAGGAGGTAAAGGTTCTCTGTCTGAATTTAAAGCTCTATCATGACTTCCTGAGCTGTAGGTGCAGGTGGTTCTTTCATGGCTGCTGATGAGAGCAGGCATCCAGGGCTTTGCTACTGTGTAGTTACTAGCAGCAGAGAGCGCAGCCTTGTGCTTGTGTCCAGTCTGAATCTCTTTTCAGTGAGAAAGTTGCTGCTGAACAAATACAAAGACTGTCCTTATAGCTGTGGAGCAGATATGTTGGTGCTACCATTTACCATGCCATATTCAGGGTTTCATGTTTTTGTATCTGCCATGTGATTCTCTGAGCACATAAATGTTACTATTTTTAAGATGCCTCTTTGTATTTTTTGTTGCCTTTTTTTAACCTGTGTCCTTAGGCTGGGTAATTGGAACCAATGTAAAATGTTCCCTTTTCACCTTTATAAGTCTTATTAGTGAAGAGTCATTTTGCTATGGCACCAGCAGCCTGACTAGCTAACTCCTGGCGGAAACCAAGAACTCCTTGTGGACTTGACAGTTTGAGTAATACATCATTTCACCTTGAAAAGCAGGGTGAACTTCATTTTTGGGGTCTCCCCTGGCTAAATGAGATTTACAGCTCTTCTTTGGAGCATGTACTTCTTGTTTTGGGAGAGAAGTACAGGAATGTAGATCAGCTGTGGCCTTTATACACCAATTTACTGTATTGTTATTTGTCGTGAGTGCCTTGGCATTACGTATGACATCCACTGGTGGGAAGAGCAGCTATCTTTCTGCTCTGCGTTCCTTGTCACTTTCCACCCTCGGTATTTTTTTCCATCAGTCATTCCTGCCTCTCCTTTTTTGATATGCTTTTTACCAACAGTATTTTCTCCTCCCGTTTCACTGCTGATATAAACTGTGAAACAGTGAACACTGACATTTAAACTGCTGCTAATAAGGGCTGAGTTGCCAGCAAGGTTAAGAACATGTGAAGAGCTTTCGTTGCTCAGAGTTGTTTCAGACTGTCTGCAAACTCAGGATGGTTACATTGAGCTGGCTTATTTGAGAAGCTTATTTGGCTTATTACTACCAGCTCCTGGAATATCCTTTTGTTCTAGAAAGCAAAGCCGAATCCTGCACATTCTGAACATATGCCATAAAGACAATATGAGCACAACCATGTGAGCTGCATTGGGCCTACAGCTCAGAATACCTGGTGAGAGGCACCAGCGCTGAGGGTAAACACAGGTGCTTAGTTCTGTTGCTCCAGAACCTTACTGGGTGCCCGCTGCGTCGTTCAGTGCTGGCCTGGGCAGGCTGTCAGCATGTAGATGCATCCAGGTCAAGGGGAGGATGTGAACTGGGTGCTGTTGTCAGACTGCTGTCTGCTCTATGTCTGGACTGAGAGACTGAAAGCATTTTCGGTGCCGCAGACTGTATACTCAGGACCTCAGCCATCAGCTGAAGGTGCTGCCTTCCTCTCTGTCCCTGAGCTAAACCGCACAAGGCTAATTCAACAAATTCATCTTAATGCAAGTACACACCCTGATCTCTGGGGAATTATGCTGGTTTCTGTTCCTTTCTTACAATGTAGCAGCAAGCTGGTACTCTACCTTATTTTTCATGTTCCTTGTTTTAAACAGCATCCCAAGCAGCTTGAACACAGTTGCTTTTTCTTGTTTTTCTTTCTTTTCTTTTTCTTTGCTAAAGGGAATTGAAATGAAACCACACCATTCACAGAGAGCAGCCATGGTAGCAATGGTGGGTTGTCAGGCTCAGAGGAGGAGATGCCAGAATAAGTTCAGCAATGACATGATGTTCATTAGCCACAAGAGATGGAGGAGGAAAATAAAACACTTGTTTTCAAAGGGATGCCTTTGCTTCTAGTGACTGGAGGGAGGGCTGACCTCCAATTTCCAGGTGCAAGGAAATGACAGCTGCAAAAAATGTTCCTTGTTCAGAATACCAAAATTACCATCTTCTGCCTAGTTATTTGCTACTAAGAGATTCTGCTTTGAACGTGTTCCCAATTCCAGCACCTCAGGAATTCAGAAAGAGCAACCATTTCCAGTGATTCTTTTATTTAGGAACTTTGCTGGGTGCTTTACAATTTGCAAAGGGCCTAAGTATTATCACTGAGTTTTTTGTTCTTCGAAGTAAAGCAATCAGCATTTTTATATGCTAAAGCACAAGCTGAGCGCTTGGCAAAAAGCAGGCTTACAAGATGCTGCATGTTGAAAGGAGGCAGAGTCTCACAGTTAGAAGTAGGATTTGTAAATTTGAGGAATTCAGACTTGCTCAGTCTCTCTGAGGGTAGACAATACTTTCTGCCTCAGTTTCCCCTCTCCAGTGTGGGAAGAATACTGCTTTGTCTGTCACTTTGTCTGTCTAAACAGGGAACATTTCAACTGAAAAATGCCTTGCTTTGTGCATGTATGGCATCTTATGTAACGGGACACTACTGTGGAGTGGTGCTGTGCCAATGCAAGTAGATATCACCAGTCTTTTCCTGGACGGTCTTTTACTCCAAGTTGCAGAAGAGCTCCTTGTTCTCAGATGAATTACAGTAAGGCTGTCTAAGAACCCTGGCAGCCTCCAGGGAGATGTAGTTCACAGTGGCAGTTCCTGCCATTGTTTTTTGGCCTGCATTTTTGAAAGATACCCAGTGCTGCCTTACAATAAGCAAACAAAGCAGAATTAATTTTTCTTCTGAAAAAGTGACTTGAATTGGATGTCCAAAACCTTAGCTGTGCTACCAGCAAAGCTGCATGAATTGCAGTGACCAGCAAGTACATGCTGGATCTGTGTACCATCTCTGACCACATAGCATGCTGCAAATAAAATTTGAGTGCTGCTGCTGCTTTTCCAAGCTTTATGTGGATGGAGTTAGACTTACGTCTGTCAAGGGTTGATAGTTTACCAACAAGTTGATCTTAAAGAGATAAACTTCAATGCTGAGGAAGCAAGACTCTGCCCCAGCCCTGATTTCAATAAGTTGCTCAATTTTTTGAAGCTTCTAGCAAGATTCAGTGCTGCTGCTGAAGGACATTATATTTGTCTGCTTCACATTTAAACCTGGATTTTACTATTAGTTTGCTCAGTAAGAGAATACATGCATTTAAAATGTACTCAGCTAGCACAGCTCCAGCAATTAGCAACCAAACAAAAGGTACTAATTTAATGCAGCCATTAAACCCTCCACGCTTGAGTACTCCGTTGGTCCAATTGTTGCAAAGTGCTGTGAAATGCCAGCTCCCAGCACTAGCAGGGCATGGAGTGAATGCTGGCAGCCTGCAGCAAACTGCGTTGTAGGCTTTAGAGCAGTCCATCCCTCTTTAATTCAATACCCTCAACAGAAGATCAGCACAAGAGCAAAACTTCAAAATGCCAGTACCCATCAAAGCTTCTGTTTGCCCTTCAGACATGCGTGGAGGAATAGGCAGCCAGAAAGATTGGATAGAAAAGAGGAGATGCCAGGAACTAAATGCAGCCTTGCTACCTTTCACCTTCATAGTGTGCCCTGAGGAATGGGAGACCTGCCTGTCTGTATGATACCAAAGGCCTACAGGGCTGTACTGTCTGCTTTCTGGACAGTGATATCCAGGATCCAAGTTTCTTTTGATAATTACAACATCTTCCTGCCCTCTCTCTCCCTCAATCCTACTGGAATGGATAGTGGCATGCTGAAGAACTGGGCAGGCTGCTGCTCTTAAATTGGTGATGCTTGCACAAACCAGCTTTGGTCCCACCAACAAGGAGAAAATGGGACTGGGCCTGAACCATTCCTCATGTCACTGACTCACCAGCCCAAATCTTTTGCAAAGCCTCATTTGTATTGTTTTGAACATACTGGCTAATGAGCGCTTTAAGGATGATTTGTTTTTCCTTTCTGGTTTCAGGTCCTCAAAGCTGCTGCGTGCATTCTACGTCCCTCTCCTCTCAGAACAGTACACATGGTATGCAAACTATACTATTCTGAAATCCAGGAGGTTGAAGCAAACCAGGAAGAAAATGGGAGGCTAGCAACACACCTGGGCAACAAAACCAAAAGCATCTGCTGACACTCTTGGACAGCTGCCTAAGCCATCTTCAGTTCCCTTTTTGAAAGATTGCGCTTCTAAGATTCACTAATAAAGATTTCCCATGAAGTGATTTTGCTCTGCAAGCTTCCAGCTGTAAAAAAGGTGCATCATCTGCTTTCAGTTCTCGGTGTCAGGTCTCTGCTCTGCCTACACAGAACATACTGGTAAGAAACCATTTGAAAAAACAGCAACCACCTATAAACGTATTATCCCTGCTGCTCCCTGTGTTATCATCTATTACACTAGAGAAGAGAAAAATGGAAAATAAAAAGGCACGACAGTATGAGGTTCTGCTCCAGATTGCAATCTGGCACTGGGAAAATCCAGCTCAGCCTCTCTCTTTCTCTCTGCTGCTGCCCTGCCTCCACTGTACTCATCTGCTTAAGTAGTGCTGACCTTCTCCTAGGGAATTTTTTCAGGTAACAACGTTTAAGAAATTTTTTTTTTTAAAGAAAAAGGAAGGGGAAAAGAGAACACCTGAGAGACAATTAACTGAAATGTACCGACTCAAGGAATGAAGTAGCGTGCACCACAGAGAAACAGCCTAAAATTGCTCTGTCCGGGAGCCACTTTCAAGGACAAACCTGTGCTTTTGGGAGGAAAAAAACCCAAACTTAGGAGTTGAGCCAATTATCTGTTTTAATGGGATCAGAGTGTTTTTGTTACCAAGGGTTTGTTTGCTATTTATAATAATTTTTTAAAGATACCTATAACAGCCTTCAAATTCTAGACTACAGCAGCTTAAAATTTCTGGAAACATCCAGAGAGGAGAAGAAGGATTAATTTTTTTTTTGCAGTTCTGTTTCCCAGAATAGACAGTATGTGTTACGTTGGTCCAATATGCTTCAGAGCAATGCCGTATTTATTATATCTCCCATTTTTAAAGCATGCAGTATCACAAGCTAGATGAAGGGAGTTGTTTTCACTCACATCCTTGGAACTCTGTGGGGATGGGATGGCATGAGATGGAGCAGAGAGGAAGTTCCTTTTGCAAAAAGGCTGCACAAGCTCCATGCCCCACTGTGACTATAATCTAATCACATTGGTCTGTGTGTGCAGTGACAGAGTGCCAGAGCAGGTGTGTCAGGAAGCAGATTTGTATGTTTGGAAGCTGTTGGGATCCAAACAGAAAAGCACGTGCCTCTGAGGATACATGTGTTAGTCCAGGTGCAGAATGTAGTGCTAGGCAGGTCTCTTGGCCAGTCTGCAGGTTAACAGCTGAGCAGGATGGGAAGGGCAGGCTGTACTAATGGGGCTGTGATCTAACATGAAACTGCTGGGACAAAGCAGGAGGAGCTGGATGAGGAGCAATGCACGGGCTAAATCGTAAGAGCAACTTTAGAAACATAGGGAGCGGTGTTCTGAATCCCCTGTGTTTCATTAAGGAGGAGTTTTTTTCACAGCATTGTGCTCTATTGGAAACACAGCTTATAAAGTGCAAAACATGGTAAGAGTAAACAGCGTGCTGCCTCGTTGTCTGGATGATTACAGCGTGGAGAATGCCGTTCTCTTCCATTGCACCCCCACTGTATGGAGGAGCAGTTTGAAGCTAAGACTCTAAATTCAAACTTTGAAAGCTTAGAGAACCATCTGCGGTATCTAAGTCTTGGCTCTCTTCAGAGAGACGGATTTCACCCTGTGCAAATATCACCCTTCATAAGAGTCAAATGTGGAGCTTCAAGGTTTTCAGCCAAGCAACTGGTGTAAAGAAACAAATGCAGTTGAACCAACTGCACCTCTCTCTGGTGCTGTTTGTATGACTGTTCCATGTTGGCATAGCCTGTAACCTCATGTTTAATGTGAAAAGACAGTACAGTAAATATCCATTTTAAATGACACTGACGGCTCCACCATCCTCTCTAGTTTGATTCCTGTTTTGGGGTGGTGGTGGGAGACTGATAACTTGACAATAATTAGGAGTTACCAGTGTTTTCCAGAGGAATGCAGCAAATGTTTGGTTCCTGGTAGTAAACGCAGGTGCAGCTACAGGTAGTAGACAGCTGGACAGCTTTGCATTCCAGAGTTTCAAATCAAGGCAGGGACTCCATTTTGCTGCTTACCATGTAAACAGGTGGAGTCGGTCCTGCCACCTGGAGAATTTGCAGGCTAAAGAGATGAGTCAGAGAAAGGGAGGGTTGTTACTGTCATGGATGACAAAAGCAGATCACATTTTAATGCTGATTTCAGGGGGAAGTTGGAAGTCTCAATGCTGTAAAGATCTTGACCCAACAACTCATTTAAGGTCAGACATGGAGTCTGCCTACAAGTTGTTTCTCATCTAGTGTCTTTGGCACAGAACCAGCCTTCCTGGCAGCAGGTAAAGGAGCCAGGGCCTCTCTTCCTTTAATCCCTGTTAATGCATAATTGTTGGCATGGGTAATGCTACAGGGCAGCCAGAATGTAGCATAGAGGCAATCTATCGGTCCCAGCAGAGACCACTGGGAATGAGAAGGTGAAGTTGCTGCTAATGGTGTTTCTATTGTAAAGACTTAGCCATAGGTGAGATTTCTGATAGGAAATGCTAAGGCTCCCCTCATCTTTTCATAATTCACAAGTCAGGACTGTTGCACTCTGCGCAGGGCTGAGATTAAGCAAAAAGCCATCAATAACGAGAAGATTACTAGTAAACAGACTTGATGGAGTGAGCAGTACAAGTCCAAGGAGTATGTGCATTGGGGCCTGAGGAAGAGACTGCAAGAATTGCCTACCTGGCTCAGGTTTAGCTGGTTGAAGGATCTTGCTTTTTGAATGCAGATGTGGATGCAAAGAGGTTTGTACCAAAAGGTGGAGCTGCATCCAAACCAAAACATTTTTAAAGGCATTTTGTAGTTTGCTTTTCTGGTTTCGGTAGCAAGTTTGAGGGAGGGGCTTCTGATTTTTTTTTTCTTTTCTTTTTACTTTGGCCCTAATTAAAGCAAATGCATGATCTCATTATGAGGAGGCAGGTTTGGGACAGCTAATTTATGATCTCTATTAAAAAATAAATAAAGTCTTGTGGTTTGCGAGCTTGTGGGTAAAGGGTCAAACCGCAAATTGCTGATCTCCCTCAGCTGGATTCCTTGCCTAGAGTTGCCTCGGGCAGAGAGGGGTGTTGTGACCAAACCTGTTGGGTAGCACATCAGGACGGAGTAGGCAATCCACCTTTGTCTTCTTTCTGTCTCTGCGGAAAGGGCTCTTTGTATTATTCTGGCTGGTTCTGGAAAAGAAGGTATCTAGATGGCCTTCTACAGTGCTGCTAGTATCTGACCTGACACACTGACAGAAGATGGTATCTTGACAGAAACATAGCTGGGCACAACCTTGCGGTCATGAGTGTGGCTAGATCAGGTGTCTCACATGAAGCTGAGAGATGGTGCAAGACACTTGCAGTTGGTCGGAGAATGTACAGGGGTTACAGTATTCCTAACCTCCTCTTTCTGGCAGTATTTCTCCACCTTTAAACTGAGGCTGAGAGCACTGCAGGTTGGACAAGTGCTGCTGTGAAATACTGGGACCCAGTAAATTTCATCTTGTGTGAGCTCATCCAGTCTTTGCAACAAGGAGCACTGAGGTGGAGAGTCCCTGAGGAAGCACCAGCAATGAGACAGACTGACACTCTCAGAAATAGGCTGAGGGAAGTCACGATTTCCACAGAACTATTTTTTCCTGCTTGTCTGCTGCAGCAGGATTTGAGGTCCATTTCAGTTTTGCTCCTGCTTTTTCTGCCTGTTCCTGGGGTTCGGCTGCAATCTGCTGGAAAGGCAGGCATATGTGTAAGCTGGTCATCTCCACCTAGGGCTCTGCCTGGGCTTGGGGACACGTCAGAAGAGGGCATT